ATTCATTGCTGGGAAGTTATAGCAAAATCCTGTTTTGCGCATATCATTAGACTTTTATCCAGAATAACTTTCAGTTTAGATTTAAAACAGTTATAATTGGCTCTCTTCACAGGTTGTGGTATAAACACTGCATGCAATTGTCACTGAGATTTGCAGCAACCAAAGAGTTTGCATAAAAGACCAACAAACAAATGTGACGTTCCTGGCACTTGAGCTGGCTCCACCCACCGTCTGCACTCCTGATCAGTATCCACACCCCGCAATCAACCTTCATTGTTTCCATCTGACGCCACCTGCACTTAAGCTCCATCTCAGCCAGTCTCCAGTGCTAGAACGTCTCAAGAACCTCCAGCGATTGTCCCAAATATTCTGCCTGCCTGTTACCCGACCTGTCTCTGCCCTTGTTTTCCGAGCCTGCCTGATCCCCGTCTGATTTGTATGCCTGCCTGATCCTGACTGCCTGCCCGTGTTGCCGACCCTGCCTGCCCGTGACCACGAGAACCTGCCTGCCCCGCTTGGACTGCCGCGCTTGGCTCTGACTCTGGACTGGACCTGAACCCCCTTTGGATTATCCCTGGTACCTTTGCTGGAGTATTGGCTTTCCCGTTACCGGACCTGGATTCCCCTGACCACGCCCCCGTATCTCCCCGCAATAAACCCTGCTTAAACTGACTGTCCGTCTCTGGGTGTTTTTGGGTCCTTACTCAGATCGTAACAACAAATAACTGATTACTTCTTGCCAAATTAAAAATCTAACTGTGTTTTTCTATGTTCCACTGCCTATTTTTTTTTAAGATATATGATTTGGTTTATCCATTTTAAGTACCCCCTTAAATACAAGTATTATATAATATATATAGGTACCTGATAATATAGGTACCTATGTTCATCTCAAAAACAAACTGGACAGGACTCAATGGCTAAACTGATTGGCTGAGGAGGAAGTGCATAATGGGAACGAAAGAGAATATACTCCTGGATTTCTTTCTTTAGGTTATCTTGTGTTCTGTTTTATCCAATGTTAAACCTCATATTCCTTTTATTTCTACTGTTCCCATGAAGCTCCTTTAACTTACACATTTCCTGTATGTTTAAGTGCTTTTTTCCTTCTGTTCTCCATATTACTTTTGTTTCCTGTGTTTGTTTCAAAACTGTATGTTGATTTCCCCTCTGCTCTGCTCCCCCTTTGCAGAACATTTCGTACTTGTCATTGCTTCAGCTTTGACTCTTGTTATAACGTTATCCAAATGTTCCTTTTATTCTGAGTATGGACACGCTGAATAACATTAGTGGTTATTTGACAGACAGACATTTTTCTCAATATCTGAAATTAGCTAAAGCATGTCTTTACAATCATTTTGTTGCATATGGAACTGCTTCAAGGTTGGTGTTAAGATCTTCTATAATAGGGAAATGGAGGACAGGTGGTTTACTGATTTCCTGTTTTATCAATACGGATTGTATATTTAATGCTGTCAGAATGCTCATTTTGTTGGAAGACAGGTTCACAAAATTTTTCCCCTTGAGATGAAACAGATGTAGATATAAAGAGTAGATAGCCCTTCTGGTTCACAGAAGAGTATTATTTTATCACTGAGATAAACTGAAGAAGGTATGTTTAGGGATTAAAGCTGTGAAATCTCTATGTAAAAATGTCTATGGGGCAAGTTTTAGTTTCTTGAGGTGTGCATTGATTATGCGCTGGTTTAATCTTTAGTGTGTTTTCTGCCAGAAACAGAGTGTGTTAAACCACAAGCCAAAAGGCCCAAGGTGTGTAAGCGAGTCCACCACAGAGCCATGTGCTTAATTTGAAATAAAATTCAAACCTACTATACATGGGTTTGGAGTCGTCACATATTAATAACATGACATGACACGACGATACATTGTCCTTTATGAAGGATGAATCGTGTTAACTATATGATGAATGAACTCCATTCAAGTGGTGTGATTTAAGAATGAATATTTCTGTGACAACACTCCCCCCTACTGCCTGGAGTTCTCTACAACAGCTATTAAACGTCACTATTCTTAAAAAAAAAAATCATATCTCATTCCAAAATCGACCAACACAATCGCAAGCTTTAACTCATCACACTTTAACAGATGGTCACCATCTTTTATTATGCCCTAATTTTGATCTTATCTTATCAAGTTAATCATCTGTGAGGTGCCACAAGATAAGTTATCAAAAAATATAATAAGTTGCGATGAAGATTCCATGAAGCATTATTTCAGACTTTGCTAATAGATTATTTTCCTTCCAGCACAGTCTTAATGGAAGGGAGCATGAATAAGATGTATTGAGATATTTCCAGTCCCATTTCTCATTTTGCTTTATCAGAGGAAAACTGTTGGACTGATCGGACTGATGATAACATCAGTACCGAATAAAACAGTGTTTGGTGCCTTCTTCTTCCAACTGTCTCTGTCAGGTACATTTTATTTTGATCCTAACTTGAACTCCAACGTCAAGCCTACTTGAAGTTTAAAATTATTTGACATCTGCAATCCTGACAAAATAAACTGATGGTCCTTTTGTCTGCCATTGTGTTTCATATAATCAGTTATATGAATCTAAATATATACCTATTGGAAACAACAGATCAGCTTTCTTTATGACCACACAAAGTAGGGCACACATTTCAGGTTTACTGAGAAGGAGTTGTAAAGCTATCCATTCTAACATAGACATCTTTGAGCTGAACAAAGTCTGCAGTTTTACAGGATAGTCACACTGAATTGGAGAATAGAAAGTTCACACATAAAAATAACAATTAAAAGCACATAATTTTGCCTTACCTCAGAAAAAGTAAGAATTGTAAACTAGCCTGTAAAGGGACGAACAGTGGTTCAATACCTAATTTTATTAAATTCTTTTTTAAAACAAAATGTTTTTTTTATTTTTTATTGTGCACTTTGTGTACATTTACCTGGAACATCTATTCTTATACAATAAGTGTTTTTGTAATGTTGGTAAATATTTGTGTTTTTCTTGGACTTCAAAAGTTCAGTTTTTTTTCAATGATCAATGTCACAAATCCTGTTTACATCCAATTTTACAGCACAAGCTAAAATGAGATGCATGGAAGGGTGAAATACGTCTTTTAGGCACCACAAGCACCTCATTAATTGCGAAGTTAGATAATGATGCATTTAATGAAGCTTGTTTTCATCTCCTATTCAGAATGGCAGGGGATGCTGCTGGTTCCAGGAAGTCCCAGTGGTGGATCTTCCATTTCACTGTTGAGGGAAAAAGGTGTAGAGGGAGACGGCCTCTTTTGGGACAGCTGAAGTACTGTAAGATCTGCTTCTCCTATAAACATTTCAGAAACTCTACGTGCTCATATGTCCGTGTGATGTTTTCCTCGGGTTTTGCAGATTTTATGCAACGTGTCCAGCCCAATCACCATGAAAGAAACACGCACGAAAACTACTTTGTTTGCACATTAAATTTGTTTAAATATTTAATCCCTCTGCTTTTATGAGCTATCCAGGTTAATAATTTAAGGAAGCATCTCGGGGCTTTGCCGTATTCATTGTTGTTTTTCAGACTATGTTAAGGAAACGGAAACAACGTCTTCCTTGTCAGCCACTTGTCTCTGCTGATTGAGACAAATACCAGGAAGTCCACCATGGGTCTTATTCCTTTTATTTTATTTTCCACACCTGTGGCCTTAACCTCAGCAAGATCAGCAGGAAGAGGGTGTGGATCTCCCTCGGGTCAGGTTTTAATCTGCGTGATGGTCGTGACTATGGTTACAGGTCCCAGGGGAAGACTCTGTTTAGAGGTAGCTGCATCAGAGTGGCCACCAGCCTGCCTTCTAAGGGATACCTGCAGTTTGGGACTTCTGCTATCAGAAATGCACACTCATTTCTCTCATTTAAAGATGCAATCAATTTTTCCAGCCAAAAGTATACTGAGGTCCCCTTCTTATATGAACAATTGTCCAGTTAGTATGGCTTCAAAAGCTGTCATGTCCTCGCACAGAGACCATCTATCAGATTAGCATTAAAGAGCCATTATGAGCACTGCCATGACCTTCTTTAAAAATAGGAAGGGACATTACAGACCCTTTTTGGCTCTCTGCAAATGAGAATTTTAGAGTTGTACATATCTAAAAATCACAGTGCGTCAGAAA